CAATGATCTTCCAAGGTCCCTTCCAGCCCTAATGTCTATGAAATCTATGAAAATCTATGAATCTTCAGATTCGAATTTGGCCGAATCAAATTAGGGACAGTAATCTGAATCAACGAACCGAATCACTGTCCCTGATTTGGACCAAATACGAATTGAATAGGCCCCCTTCACACACCCGTAATACATATTCTCTGAGCCAAAGTATTGTTGTATTTGCACGGATACCTGAGAATTGGGAAAGTATAAGACTTTTTTTATTCCACTACAGCAGTGGAGGTGTGGAAGGCAGCAGCCATCTCTCTTTTGCCAGTACTCTACCAAGCACCTTGGGTTAGCACAGCCTACCTGTTCAAACCTGTTCAAACATTTTGACTTAACTCTACCATAGTCCAAATCTGCAAGAGCTTACCTCTTCTATTGGTGGACTCTTGTATCAACCCAGACCTAGAGCCCCCTGGTGTTTCAATGCCAGAACTTCAATAAGAACCAGTATTGCTTAGATCTAGCCAGCAGCATCCCTTATTATTCCAGGTCTGTGTTCTTGATTATTAGTCTAGTGAAAGAGCTGATGATTAGTACAAGTGGTCCGACTCTTCTTTCATTCTGATTTTGTAGCAATGGTCTGTGGTGGAGTTACTCCTGATATATACTCATGAAGGCGAGAAGAAAATCAACCCTAGGGATCCTTACAAGTGCCTAATGTGTAAAGTGCCTCTCACCATGCTGTTCAGGATCACAGGGTATTCACCCATCATCACCATGACTTAACAAACACAAAAGCATAATTTAGGCCTCAAAAGTTTTTGTGTTTCATGCAAGTACATCCAAGAGTGTACATCCTACATGAAATATAGGATACTTAGACACCCTTGGTTCTGAGCAGAAGTCCAGATTTCCAGCACTGTGCACATACAGTCACTTGAGCAAAAATACATATGCCCTTGCATGTCTAATCTGCATGCACTATTTTGCGTTGTGGTAATCATTCACAGTCTCACTTGATTAAAAATAATGCATGGTTCTAAAAATTGGAGTTGCTCTCTTAGAAGATTTTGCTTGTTCTCTAACCTGTTATTTAAAGTATTTTTTTAAACTTCATGTTCCTCTTTTAGAGCATCTGACTTTATTGCATTTGTTGTCAGTCTTATCTATTTCTTCCTTCCATTCCATTCCTCCCTAATATGGTGCTATGATGGACTGGGATCATGTAGGTTGCTTGGTCTTAATTCACTTTTATTTACATTTCTACTAGTCAGTGCATCTGCCCTATGGCATAGTTGTCTTCAGCTGTTTCTGCGACTCTCCATGAATCAAAACTGAGCATTAGGCTCTTCTGTATAATTATTCTACTCTCCCTGACAATCCAATTTAGGCTTAACTTACACTGTAATTCATCAAAGCTAGGGGATTCTGGAAGCACTTGAACTACTAGGAATTTGTGTAGTTTCATGGCATATGCTGTGAGAAACATCCTCCATTTCTTATTGAGTAGGCAAGCTGTTGGTAAACAGGACAGGCTGAGATAGGAATGTGTGCTAGCTTGCTTGCTCTGTGTCATATGCAAAATTACAAGTCTCTTCCTGAAATAAATGTAATGTTCTCCATTGAGAATGTACAAATAAATGTAATGTTCTTCTACTTAGCCCATGCCAGTGGCTAAGTAGGATATCTGTAATAAGAAGAAATGAAAGAAAAGCAAGCATTTCAGTGGAAGATGGATGATGATGACAAGGAGACTTATAGACTCCTGAAATATTAGAGGAAAGAGGGCATGGGGGTAAACCAATCCTCTGGATCCAAAGCATGGTGGAGAGATTTGAGTTTGTACATGGAGTAGTTTTGAATTGAGTCAGATCTCTTTTGGGGTGAATATATAGCCAAAATTCAACAGTACCAGAGCACAGGATTAAAGAGATCTTCTGTAGTTGTTCAGGAAGGAGAATCTGGAGGATCAGAAAGTTGGCTTGACACATTAGAGGCAGAAAGACTCAGCAAGCTCTTAAATTGCTTATAATCTTTGGCCAAGTTGATCCCCATTGATTTCGGGGGGCTATTTTAGGAGATGAATTAGTCAATTGTTTTTGTGTCTGTACAGTTGTTGAGAACATTAGTAAATATGTGGCAAATATATTGGTAATTCTGCTATCCTCTAGGAACTGAACTCAAACCACCAGGTTATTTTAGATGGCCTTCAAAGTGCCATCAAATGATACTGTCTTTTGGACACTGCTTCTACTGGAGATACTGGCATTCTTCAGGTCCCAAGGGATTTCTTTATTGTTCCAAATTCATAGAATAATTCATGGAGTTTCAGTACCAGTTTCTTGCTGCCAGCGTAATAGGTTTCAGCAGGTGTGTCATCCAGTCCACTGCCCTTGTTGTTCTTGGTTTGCTTGATGGCACACCAGACTTCCTCTAGGATAGGAGGGTTGGTGAGAAATCCCCTTTCATGGTGTTGGGGGTTGGATTTAATGGTGGTATCCACCACAGTTGACTCATGGTTCAGGAGTGCCTCGAAGTGCTATCTTTAAGAAAAGAGGTAGGGCTGTGTGTAGGAACCATAGAGGTATTATCCTCCTCTCCGTAGCAGGGAAAATCCTTGCCCACATCCTTCTGAAGTCTTCTACCTCTTGCTGAGGAAGTCATGCCATAATCTTAGTGTGGCTTCAGACCATCCTATGGGGCAACTGACATAATCTTTGTTGTCTGCCAAGTCCAAGAAAAGTGTCAGGAACAACATCAGGACCTGTGTATGACCTTCGCTGACATCACTATGGCCTTTGATTCAATCAGTTGCAAAGCCTTGTGGAAAGTACTGGCCAGATTTGGATGTCCTGAAAAGTACATCAAGGTCCTGAGGCTTCTTTATGACAAGAAGTCTATGACCATCCTATGTAGTGGATCAGTTTGTCATCAAAAGTGGGGTCAAGCAAAGATGTGTCATCACTTCAACTCTGTTCTCCATTTTTTTTGACAGTCATCTTGGTTCTCATTAAGGACTGCCTTCCTTCTAAAATTGACATGGAATACCAAATGGATGGACGGCTCTTCAATCTGGGATGTTTTCAACTGAAGACCAAAGTACTCAAAACAACCAACCTTGACTTTCAGTATGCTGGCAACTGTGCCATTCTTGTGCACATAGAAAAAAACCTCCAAACTTCACTGGATCTTTTCAGAGAAGCCTATCAAACTTTGGGCCTCTTTCTCAACATCAAGAAGACTAAAGTGCTCTATTAGCCTGCCCTAGGTCATGAATGTGACCTCACTTTCCCCCCACAAAATTACTGTCAGGGGAAAGACCCTGGAGGTAGTTGAGCACTTCCCCTACCTTAGTAGCTACTTCTCTCAGAGGGTGAACATTGATGAGGATATACAGCACAGGATCTGATGTGCAAGTGTCTCCTTTGGAAAATTGCTTTGGTATGTCTTTATTCATTACAGTCTTTGGAAAGACACCAAGACACTGGCAGCAGCAGCAATCTCTCATGGTCAAGGATGATCACTCCCATGGGTCAAGTGAAATGTGTGTGTGAATGCCAACGTCATTGCTGACACCACTGTTACCAACATTGAGTCGGTGATCTTAAAGCACCAACTTTGCTGGGCTGGACACAGTGTGCGGATGCCTGACTCCCAACTCCTAAAATAAGTGTTCTATTCCCAGCTTAGTAACAGCCTGAGATTTTGCAGTGGCCAGAAGAAATGCTACAAGAGCATATTGACGGTATACGTCAAGAAAACAGATGCCAACATTAAGGGCTGGGAGGAGCTGACTATCGACTAATTCCAATGGCACTGCAACCTCAACCAAGCAGCCGTCTGTTTCAAGGTAAAGCATCTTGCTCTCAAACCAGGGAGGAGAGGGTGGAGGAAGAAAAAGGAGAGGAATCCTAACCTATGTCTTACTCTCCCCTGCAGAAGACCTTCAACTTCTGCAGACAGGTCGTTGGCTCAAGGATTGGACTCTGAAGTCACCTCAAGACTCATCAACGAGCAGCGGTAGAGATCATCCTTGAATCAAGGGATTGTTGATGACAACCTACTGGGGAGTCTCAGGTCAGTAAAAGTCTCTGTATCACGTTCTTAACCCTTGAGCCATGGACTCCCATATAAATTATTGTTGGTTTTTTTCAGCTTTTTCTGGCAATAAAAAATCAGCACAAGAGCTGTATCTTTGGGCATTGTCACTAAAATTCTAGAGCTTCCTTTTCTTTTCTAAAAAAAGTCCAGTGCCCCAAAAGTAATCAGATAAATGAGACTCTTTAATGGCTGATGATTGGAGGAAAGCTTTGCTGATTAAAGACCAAAACTGATGGAGTATCAATCACTGTTCTTTTTGATTAAGTACCATACTAATCTCTGTCACTGTGTAATGACTATCCTGGCAAACAGAGTCTGATTGCTGCAGGCAAATCATTTACATTAATCAAATAAAGTAAGAAAGATAGCGATGTACTTTACTGTTCAAGACAAGATGCTGGATGTCTCATTGCTAAAGAAGCAGACTGGACCACATGTCCTTTTTGTGTTAAAGGCCTCTTTAAGTAGAGGGAACACTCCAGCTAGAATGTGCTTTAATATTCCATTGTTCTAAGAGCAGAATTTAAGAGCACCCATTCCTGATCCCACTGACCCAAGGCAGTTACATAATCATGTCATAAACAATGAATCAACAACTCAAATTTTAATAAGCAAGACATTTGAAATATAGCAATTAACACAAATTCAGATTTTTCCTGATGCTTGGTTTAATGTGCAACTGTTCTAGTAAACGACCAATCTGAAAGAACTGTATTGCCTATAAGCTTTCTTTGCAAAGTAGTGAATTTTGGAGATCACTTATTATGTGGTAGGGAAGGAAAGTAGGGAATTAACAGAGTATGTCATTGATTAAACATCAAAGGCCAACTCCCCAAACATTGCTCTTGTTATAGTCCTAGGAAGGGTCTGTGTGTGCCATTACCTTTCACTATTCAAATGTCACAAAAAATCTTTACCTGAATAGGTGAGCATACTTTCCAAGGGTGAAGGTCTGCATTCTATCCTCTCTGTTCCTACGAAGTTCACAATAAACTTGGTATGTGGCCTAGTGGCAACTGCAAAGTCCAAAAAATCACAGAATTATTACAAAAAATGAGACACAATCAAGGGCAAGGGCAAAAAGACATAGCATTATTAAATCCTATGAAGATTTGAAAGTTTAAACCACAAAGCTGATACTAGGAGTGTCTACATGTGCTATTAAATAAACTCTGGCTCAGTTTGTACCAGAGTTTATTGCTCCCAGGTGCAGCATCTACATGTGCACCCAGGACCGCAGAACATTGAGCCACGCCAGAGCAGACCTGGCTGGCAGTGGACCTGGGGGGTCAGCCTGCCAGCTTGGGGCTGCTTCAGCCCAGCTCAGCCCAGTGGTTTACTGTGGCCTAATAGGGCCACACATATAGATGCTGAGACTTTACCATGGAGTTAATTAGGCAACTCTGCAGTAAATGTCTCATGTAGACACTGTTCACCGAGGGGCCCACTATGTTGTGCTTAATGTATACCATTATATGGAAAGACCTCAAAATCCTTATTTAACCTCTTATCACCCCTGTCAGATAGGGACTTTCTATTATTCCCATTTGGTAACAGTCTGGTGACAGTTCTCAGTACATGTCCACCATATTGGGCCCTGCACAAAAGACAGCCAGGGATGAGACTAAAGTGCATATGTCTCTATGACAGACAGCCTGAGGCACTCTGTCACTTTAAGAGAGACACAGCCCAGGGGAGTCCTGTAGGACAGGCAGGGTGCAGCTACAACTGGGTTGCTATAGTTTCATAGTTTCATAGCAGCTAGGGTCAGGAGGCACCTGAACAGATCATCTAGCCTGACCCCCTGCCACAGGCAGGGATGAATGCTGGGGTCACCAGACCCCCGACAG